GGAGGGGGCAGAAACTTTTTTTTTTGTAAGCGATGAAGGAGGGGGGAGAAGCTTTTATTTTTTTTCGTAAGCGGCACAGGAGGGGGGAATAAGCAGAGGAAGAGCGGGGATAAGTGGCGGAGGAGCGGGGATAAGCAGCGGAGGAGCGGGGATAAGCGGCGGAGGAGCGGGGATAAGCGGAAGAGGGGGGGATGAGTGGCGGAGGAGGGGGAAGGGAAGGAGCGGGGGAGGAGGGGCAGAGGAGCGGAGAAGCTGTGGAGGAGGGGGGAGGAGACGTGGAGGAGGAGAGGCGCGAAGAAGGGTAGGAGCAGCAGAGGAGAGGCGCAGAGAAGTTGTGGAGGATGAGCGGGTGAGCATGGGCGGAGGCGCGAAGGATGGGTGAAGGAGGTGGGGTGGAGGAGAGGAGACGTGTGGAGAAGCTGTCTCTGTCCTGCTGAATGAATGCAAGGCTGAGACCACTGGATAAAGTTCCGATAAACCTTATTATGGAAAGCCTATAACAACAAGTTGTTTTGCAGCGCTTATAGCAGCAGGCGGGACCGGTGCCCACCGCAGCTATGCCCCCAACGCACACCATCTCCTCCCTCCTCTCGGCTATCTCCACCTCCTATGCCCACCCTCCTCCTCTGGCATCTTTGCAGCCCAACAATAGAAAAAGACAACAGGACTTGCACAAAAAAATGCAGAGTCCACCTCCTGATGTGAAATCCCGGCCTTCTTTCCAGTAAACATTAAACACGTATGTGGAGTGACTGAGCGGCCAAGCTACAAAAAAAAAGAAACCATGGCCAAAGTTAGGCACAACTTGGCTGCTGGCTCAGCCCGACCATGTACGTAGGTTAGGCGGTGTCATGTGGTGTGGGTGAGACTGTGGGCTAGGCAGTATCATGTAAACCAACAGTACCATACCAGTCGAGTCATACTTTTTTTTTTTTTTTTTTTTTAAACCAGCCTTGGCATACTAGGCAGGTCAGTAAGAGCACCTCCGCTTAGTATCCTACCGCTGGATGTTCCGGTCTATTGGTGGGGGGCCCGTCCACTGTCCCATAGAACATTAAATGAACAATATTCAGTACCGGGGCCATTACCTGGCTTCGACTTGTCTCAGTGTGAGATAGTGTCATACTATACGTAGTATAGCCTGAGGGACTGGATGGTAGTGACACACACACACAGCCACAAAAAAAAAGAAAAACACACACACTTGAACACAACACGAACCCATAGGAAAAAAAAAAGAGCACAGACACAACCACAAAACAAAAACAAAACACATGGTCAACACCAGACACAATTCTCCTTCGGGACGGCCACGCGGTACTATGTGGGCCAGAGCCGCCAAACGGGAATATGTGGCCTGGGTGATACTTTGCGGATAATCATTGGGTTGCACCATGTGAGGTGGGTCATACTATGTGGACTATGTGGTACCATGGGGGATGTAAGTTGGGCGGTACAGCAGGGTCGGATGGTTCTATGAGGGTTGGGAGGTATGGCCTGGGTGATGGTAAGCAGGTTGGGTGGCAGGATATGGGTGGGTAGTAGAATGTGGAATGGGTGTTACTACAGTCTTTCCCCGAACAAAACGCACGTATGTACTATTCAACTTTCCCTAAAAAAGTCGATTTCTCGAAGTTGACCCCTGAAATTCAAATAGTACGCACATATGTTCTATTTGAATAGTACTCAGGTTTGTTTTATTCCAACAGATGGGTGTTCTATTCAAATAGAACACACGCGTGCCCGCCTGCAGTGCTGCGCTTGTTTTCATCAAGCACACGCCCTGCAGTGTTCCACTCTCTCTCTCTCTCTCTCTCTCTCTCTCTCTCTCTCTCTCTCTCTCTCTCTCTCTCTCTCTCTCTCTGTGCCTTATCTGAAGGTCCAGTTTGCAGGAAGACTGAAGGTACCTGTTCGAGGGTTCAGAAGTTGATACCCTATATCCATAGCATAACGCACGTTTGTTGTATGCAAATACAACGCATCCCGTGCGTTCTATTCGTAAATAACGCATGTGCGTTTTGTTCAGGGGAAGACTGTAGGTAGGCATGGTGATATAACGTGGCCCAGGCAATACTATTTAGGTTGGGCGGTACTTCCTTTTTTTTTTTTTTCCTTGGGTGGTACTTCGTGGGGCGGGTCATAGTATGTGGATTAAATGGTACTATGTGGACTGGCCAGTACAGTGTTGGGTAGGTGGATGCTAAGTGGAGGATGCTCCATGGGCTGGGTGGTACGAACGACCAGAAGGAAACGGAAAAGCACAAAAGAGCCAAGCCCATGTGGCTGAATGGCGCACACCCATCACTGTGGAGTGACAAACCTCAACTCTAAGGCTACGAGAGAAGGGAAGCACTCTGAAATCTTTTTTTCCCCCCCTTTTGGAGCAAAGCTCAACCCTGATTCGAGCTGGTGACCTGGATGCTAAATAGCAGGTGTCTTCTCTCCATCCAAATGAGCCTGCAATGTACTTGTTTCCCAACCTATAGCAAGAAGTCAACAAAGGAGAAACAAAGGAAAGCAGAAAACACCCCAACAACAAAAAACACGGCAGAGCCCCATGTAATCCAACTCGCCTGGGCGCCCAGCCGCCCAGGGTACCTGGGCGATTAGAAAAACAGGGTCACTAAAGAAACGAGGTTAAGTCTCTTTCTGTCAGACACGAGAGAATGACGGTATTTTGTGCAAACCCCTGGATCCCAGGGTAATCAATGCTGGCAGGAAACTCCCACAATTGTGTGTCAGATGTATTACAATCTCAGTCTGTATAAGGGACGCTGGACCCGCTCCCCACCAATAGATGGAGCCTCTCCCCAGATGCTAGTGGTGTCTGCTTTTATCAGCACCACTAACACTGGCGGGGGTTAAAAA